ACATGTACAATGTTAGGAGCTGTTTCCTTGAAACTTTTACACGACTGAGAGACAAAAAATACCTTTGAGCCAGGCTCTTTAAATGTGAAACTCCCCAAAGAAACATCCCTGTTAGCAGGTTCCACAGACTTCTTTTGTCCCCAAAATAGAGCATTTACGCGGAATGTTGAAACCGGATTCTGGACGCATTGTCTACATGATGGATTATGCTACAAATGCAAAACTAATAATCATATTTTCCGTAATATAAAGTCTTGGTGGCATTTGTAACCACATTATCAAATAGTAATCAGTAAAGTTATGTAAAGCAACAAGTATTACAGCACCAAATGTACTGAAATTGATGAGTTTCATAACATTTCATCCAAACTGGACAGGACCCTTCTATCCATAATTCCTCAGGACTAGCGAACAGAATGAAACAGTACATGCAACCTAGCATAAGCCAGTTGACACCACGATCATTCCTTGAACTGACTCATGAAAATCAATCAAGAAGCATAAAAATAAAAAATTTCCAGTCCTGCTCTTTATAAATTCGAGAACTAATATAATAACCCTCCTAATTATGATACAAACGTAAACAAAATGCACGTATACGAAAAGGGTGCAAGATCATGTTTCCTTTAATACATCGACTTTAATTGGACAGTCATGGGTAGCTCATTCAGTCCTCTACTCAGTCACTAGTCTGGGTTTGAAATATATGAACTTTTCCAATCCAGCCCAAAAATAATTTTCTCTATTCAGCAAAATACAACGAATTTAGATAAAACATGTGCATCTACATGTCTGCACACTGTTCATTTTACAGGTAAAGCATGCAATTCCTGTACCTTTGAGCAAGAATTCTAAAATTAGCAGCTAACCATGGAACTTAATTTATTATAAAAAGACAAAAAAAAAGAAAAGGAAAAATTGAAAGGAAGAAACAAAGATGGATGCAGCAGCTTACAAGGGTAAGTGGGACGTGTCCAAGAAATGTAGAAGAAGCAGCCATGGCCATCGCCATGGCCGAAAAGGCTCAGCAAAGTTCAGACCAGGAGGAATGATGGCCAAAGCTCACTTTTTTCCTTTTTTTTTTTTCAAAAAAAGTTTTCCCAAAAAAAATGTATGTGGCTAAGATTTTATAGTTGCCGCAACTCTCAAGTGCCTCGCAAATGTGTACTTTCAGACTCGATTTTCGCATGCCTTGTGTTGTTAAAAAATAAAAAATAAAAAATCGCGTGCTTTGGGGCCGAAAAGATAAAGACTGAATTTCGCGACTTGCCCCCTGGTTTTTTCAAAGATTACGCTTTTGTTTACAAAACGTCAGAAATAGGGGTGCACGTGTTTCTTCTTCTTGTACAGTTAAGCTTTTGTTCATTATCTACATCTTTTATAATTTTTTTTTTTTTACTTTTTGTTGTTTCTTAAACTTCTAAGTTATAAACGTCATGTGGATTTTTTGTGTTAATGAAGAGGCCTGATCTAATGTATATCAAGCCAATTATCCAACGGATGAAAATAAAAAAGGGGGTGAAAATAAGATTCTTCATTTTGCTGTTCTTGTGTGTGTATGAATTTAGTTCCTTTTTATGTTCATCTTCGCGTTAACTCGAGATGCCCTTTTGCCTGATTCGTGTATTTGGGTGTTAATGAGACAGTGGTGGAAGTTGCATAAATGCCAAAGGATGGAGAGGGTTGAAGATTTTGAGAAGGAAAAGGGAAAGAGGATTTATAGAGTTCGGATTATCCATTCCACATGATATAATTCGTGTTATATGAGTTTGGGATATATCATCATTTCTTGTGTTAATATAGCTCGAATTATAATTCTCACCTTTTTTTATCGATTATTTTATTTGAACTTTGAAGTTTGAGCATAAAGTTCCAATTAGAATTGCTTGATTATTCATGCATCAACAAAATGGCATCAATTTGGAAACCATAATTTTGATGATTGTTAACTTTTCTTCCCATGAATGATTGGCTCTATGCTGATTTGAAGATGTACATCTCATTGCATCACAAGTTTCTTAGAGGATATCAGACAGTTCTTGGATATGCACCTGATAAGCGAGAAATTCTTTTGACTAATCATTGTCAGGAATTTGGGCTTTCTGATATCATGGGGATCATGTCCATGGAAATTCGATCAGTTCCTTGGGGCTATCAACATCGGAAGACAAATGCTAATGATGATAAGATTGATATAGCTAGGGTAGAAGACAAGAAAATCAAAGGGAAGCCAACGAAATTCTTCTGTAGAAGTTTGTATTGCCCTGAAAGAGGTGCTTTCTTATGCCTGAAAACTAGTTCAATGGGCCTTGGTACTGGGTATTGTGACTCGTGCAAGATAAAGGAACTGCGCAACACATCGGTATTCAAGCTGAGGCAGATAAAACTCCTAAGAATGCAAGAAGTGTGGTTCTTAAACCATTCACTGTCTGCCAATTTCTGGGGATTGACCGGCATAAGCCGTTTAAAAATGCTGACCCTGAATCCACAATAGTTAAACTTCAGAGATTTTTTAGACCTGAGGATATCCCATTTGTATTTGAACTTTAGTCGATGAAGATCATGATTTCCCAAGTTGGTACGTGCACAAAGTTGTGCATGCCTGGACATTTTCAAGAAACTGACAAGGCTTCTTCGTTGTGAATACTTTGGAAGAGATATTGATTAAAACTGATGTTAAGTCTTTAAGATAATATATTTCAGCTCTAATCTTGCCATTGGAGGATCCTTGTGATGATGAAAAGGAGACAAGGATTTGTTGTGAAGGATTTGGACCGATAATATCGTGGTCATTGTTGGGATATGATGATAACTCACCCATTATTTGGGTTTCTACAGAAACAGCTGATTATGAATGTCTTGCTACTGTCCAGCAGAAGCAATACAGTCTTTCTTCCAGAAAGCATGTACTTGTGTAGAGGTATATAGGGTGCTATCAAAATCTTGTGGAGGCAACCAGAAACCTAGTCTTAATCAGTTACTCACAGCTGTCGTTCATTCAGTGACAGAAAGAAAAAATGTTCTTCGTGGAGCCATTACAAAGGACCCAATCATTTCATGGGGAAGATTCAGCATAAATGTAGCAATTAAAAATAACAGATGTCTAAAGTAAAACTTAATACCTGCAGCCACAATCGAAGATTTCAGCAGCTAAAACCTTGATAGGTGCAAGCTTATCATAAACATAACAACTACAATCTGTAAGCAATCATATATGTCAATCTCGGACTTTGGTTAGGAAGGGACGACGAATATACATTCTTTGGATAAAACCAGCACAAATCTGAACTACTAAAAAACAGTTGCACCAGATAAAATACAAACAAGTCTGATGCCTTTGTGAGTATCTATCTATATATCTATCTCAACATCTCTCATCAGACCCTGCAATCTCAAAGGCAGTAGTAGGCTTTACGAGCCCAAAGTCAGCAGACCCTACAATCCATCGGTATTGCACCTCCTTGTAATGACCAACAGTCCGGACCCTTAGGTTGACTGCATGGGGAAGATTGCCACTGAGTTCAATTGATGCATCATTAAGTTGCTGTCCGAAACACACTTATTCATCGTTAAGTTGCTGTCCAAAACACACGTATCCCCCCATCTTGCCCCACACACTCCCAGCTTCTTTCCCTTTAGTTGACTGAATATCACATTAGTCCCTATCGTCTTTTTCTCTTCTTTCCATTACTTGGTGCATTATCTGCTATCAAAGTTTTAGAGCAAGTGCATTTCCTGTTATCAAAATATTTTTAATCTAAATTCAGATAGGCATTTGATTCATGCCAAAATTAGGTAGATAGTTGTCTTAGCCTGTGGAAGATCATTACAATCACTCCTCATTATTTGATCTTGTGGTATGTTGCTTCTTTGTAGGACTCTCAGTGATTTTCAGTGTGGTCAATAGGCTTTCATCAATGTTGGTAGATTTCACAAAAGTTTTTGCTAGAGTGAGTGTCAATCTGCATTAACTCTATGTCAGTTTCTTCTTCAGTGTGGTACCAACCGTAGGTTGCCTTGCCTGAGTGCTGCTTCCTGCTTCTCCTGTTGGTGTGGTGTCTTTGATGCTGAGTAGGAGTTGATGACCCACAATAGCTGTGTACTTTTCAGTAGCAGATGATGCATAGCTATATGAGTCGTTCTTAATGAGGCAAAGAATGGTGATGTTTTTGATAGATTCCTCTATTGCTTTGTGTTGAACATCATATCCACTTATTGCAAGTGGAAAGATGTACCATTTAATCAAATGAAAGTAATATTGTGGTGTTAAATAGTTAATTTTACCTTTTCTTCTTGTTCCTGGATTTCAGGAATTGTGCATGGAAAGAGTTGCTCAGCATCATCTCCATATGAATCAACAGTTATGTTTCCACTCCAATCACCAAATTCAACAGTCAATCTAGGCCTGATATGAAGAACGGTTAAACACATTGAAAGATTTTCGAAATCCTGATATTTATAGTATAGCCATGTGAGGTTCAAACTATGATTTTTATTGCAGAAAATAATTGCAGAGTTCTTGACAAAAGTTTGGAGCACCCAAATCTGTCTAAGTTTTCACAGATCAGGAGATCCACTTGTTAATTGAAGTAGGTGTGTAAAATTTATATGATCAGAAAATCTTCATAATTTTGTCGTACCTTGGAACGACGTGGACTCATCGCTAGCAAGAAATGCATGTGATATGGCATTCTGGAGTAGCTCACACAGGCTTATGGCAGAAGGCGCAGGCGTGGTACCATAATTTTTGCCTGTGTCCGGAAGTTTGGCCTAGCCATGGTTCGCCGTCGCGGGTCACGGTCACGTCGCGGTATCGATTGTTCCACATTTGTCGTGGCATATTGGTTGAATATCGGGTGATACGCACATTATAGCATAAGAAAGTTTCCAAAAAATCTGAAAAAATTACTAAAATTAGAAAATACCAAAAAAGGCACAATTTGAATAAAATCCGAGTCGACTCTGAGTTGATTCGGTTATATCGGCCGATATCATGCATCATGGATTCGAATCAACCAATATCGGCAGAGTCAGAGCGAGTTCAGGGATCGGTATTGTACCGATCCCCTCATTTCCAATTACGACTCGGCCGATATGTATCGGTATCGGCCGATATTGCTAACAATGGGCCTTGCGTTGCACCCAGAATGATTTTTTCTGAATTTAAGAGAGTAGTTTATGAGCTAGAGGGACAGAGTTTTTGAAGTTAGTATGGATCTAAATTTGACAGGTTTCATTATCAGTTACCTGTGGCATAGTAAAGTATTCCACCAATGTACGTTATATCTTCAGGATCAGGCAGTGGGAGAAGGCAAACAGGTTTTTCATTATTGGTTTTCTGCCGCCCTATTTTTGTAGAGTACTTATTGCATCGAGTATTTGAACTTGAATTGAAATGTTATTCAATACTTTGTAATGAAAATAAGACTATTCATTTTTTCTCAAATGTAGTAGAAATTTTTGAAAGAGGTCTTTTTCTTTTTTTTTTTAAAAAAACTATTCAAAATTCACCTTGTAACATATCTGCATAAGAGATAGATTTCAATTGGCAATCACATTTGAATGGTTTACTGCACTGAAAAGTGATTTTTCCTTTTAACTATTGATCCAAAATGTAGCCAGCATTCACCCCCCTTTTTTTTTTTTTTTAATGGTGGCAGGATTTCTCCAAAGTCGGCAGTTTGCTTTCCAAAGCTGAAATATGTGATTAAACTGATGCATAAATAAGGATATGAACGAATATTGCAGAATTTCATAGGATGAGTGGTTTTCTAACCATACATGTATTAAAGGTGGATTCCAATGTTTATAAATGATTTGCTGATTTTGATAACCCCATATCATGCATGGCCCTGTGCTGGTCCAGATAAGTTAATCAATAATCACGACCTTAATTCATGATTTCTTTCCTCTAAGGACATGATAGACCACAATGACACTAGAGCCCTGATAAGTCATAGTAGTATTATGTCTTCAATTTCTTTCCATGCTTTGAAATTGTGACTTAAATCAGCTGAAACAACCAAGAAACTTCAGGAAAGAAATCCACCATAGAAGTTGTAAAAAGTCAACTGCAAGCGGAATAGAAATACATAAACACATGAACAAGATAAAAATTGTAGATTACTTAAGTTTCGCGCACGAATACAAAACAATAAAATAGGAAAAATTCAAAAAAATACATATATCAGCATGTCACTAGTGGCAGATTGCAGTGTTATTTTGAATGTCACGGAAGCATAAAAATTAAAATAAGGAATCCATAAATGTGAAGAAAATAATTTATTTGGCTAAATTGTTAGATAAAGAGTGGATACAACACCTCCATGAAACTCATCTAGACATCTGGAAGCCTTTTTTTTTTTTTTTTTTTTAACAGGAGTTGTACTTTTATTTGTTCAATCAAAAAAGCCAATTCTTGATAAGCAATGCATTTGAACATTTCAACAACTCCGGGGGACTACAAATAATGTCCGGGAAAAAATTGGGACAGTCCCAAAACTTTAAGGTCTAATATTGCAATTCTTTGCGCGTGCACGGTTTCCTGTAATAGGCTAATAGCCCAACCCTTTAATGCGAATTAGGGTTTGAAATTGTGCACGTGTTAAAATAATTAGGGGTTTTGGATAAAATAATTCAGGCGCGCGTGCTTCCCAAATTTGGCGCCAGTTGTAGGCATAAAACTACCTGCTTATTTTTTCAATTGTAACGGCTTCTTTTCATTATACACTTTCCAGAGTAGCCATGGCAGCATCAAAACAGCTTCCGTTCTTCACAGAAGCTGCTTCTTTTGCTCCAATGCCCTCATCAAATCGAATCTCCATAACCATATTCGGACATATGGTTATTGTGGAACTGTGCACAGCCCACATAAACCAGGTAAGATTTTCTCAATTAATCAGGGATTATCTTTGCTTGTTTTTGCCATTATTTTGTGTATGAATTTAGTTTCTTTTTATGTTCATTTTCACATTAATTTGAGATGCCCTTTTGCTTGATTCGCTCATTTGGGTGTTAATGACACAGTGGTGGAAGTTGTATAAAGTCCAGAGGATGAAGAGGGTTGAAGATTTTGAGAGGGAAAAGAGAAAGAGGATCTTTAGAGGTGGTGGCAGAAAAGAAAGAGCAAAGGTTTGTTTGTTTTTCTTTCTAATTTTTTTAATTGTTTTCCTTTTTCTTTTTGTGTTTGTTTAATGAAATAAATAATTTCTTGGTTAATATGAGTTTGGGATATAATTCTCATCTTTTTTCCTGTCAAAATAATTTTTTTTTGAGCTGTGAAGTTTTTGCATGTGCAATGTGCATTGAATTGAAAGATTGTATTTGTCCAATTATTGGAATTGTTTGATTATTCATGCAAAAACAAAACGGCATTAATTTGCATACCATATTTTTGTGATGATTATTTGCTTTTCTGGTTCCAAGAAAGAAATGACTATAAGATTCTGCAACAGCAAGAGAGTCAAATGTTATTCTCACGTAATAAACCCGAGGCTCTTATGAAGTCAAAGACAAAACTTCTGGATTATGTATAAGGGTTTAGTATTGCATTATGGAAGGGATGACTAGGAGACACAGGGCCAGAGTTCTCAAGGATGGCAGCATTTTTGGTTGGCCATTTTTCCATTTCTCCTGCTGCACGTTCATGTCTGCATGCAAGCATATGTTTTTTCTCAAATACATTTGTAACATGCATAATACATTGTTCTTTTAGCATTTCTAATTGCCCATTTTCCCCTCCTGCAGGTTATTGTCTGCATGAAAGCATGTGTTTTCTCTCAAACACATCTGTAACATACTTTATACATTGTTCTTTTAGCATTTCTGATCGCCCCTTTTTCCATTTCCCTCTCCTACAGGTTCATGTCTGCATGCAAGCATGTGTTTGTTCTCAAATACATCTGTAACATGCTTAATCTGTCCCTATATGTACTCTATGAATTAGTTCTTTTAGTATTTTCCATTTTCATGTTGACCTCTGAGAACATCAGTTTGTTTTCCTTCTATAAACTTTTAACCGACCTTCATCACTCTGCCAATCTTCTTCCACCTTTATTTGCATTAGTTCTCTAGAATTTTTTTTTATGAGAGTTTACCTCATTTTTTTTCTCCCTCCTGTTACATATATACAAATCCATATGCTATCTTCCTTATTCTCCACTGCACACCCCAGGTGACGGTTAATGTTCTTTCTGATAACTCATCTCTTGTCTTTCATTCATATAATAGGGAATCTGAAGCTTCAATTGAATTTGACATTAGCCATTATAGATTGAATCATTATAATTATCTTCAGTTGAAAACAAATAAAAGGTTCACAATTATACTGAGAGTTTGCAAACTTCAGAAAAGCTTTACCTGTGGTGAAGTATTATAACTTCAAACCAAATATACCTACCATAGTAGGCTTTGGTTTTTTACCATACAGATTATGAGAGATAAAAAATAAGAATAATAAATGTAGACCTTGTTTTGTCGACTGAAGCAGTAATAGTATTAGCTGCTTAAGCCTTTAGGCTTCTGCAGTCAGTCATTTCCTAGGCCAAGAAATGATTGTTCTTGTAAGGCTTAAGGCTTCTGCAGTCACTTATCAAAGTACATTTTTCCATCTAATAAAGGAATGCTCTTCTTGCAAATTTCCTATTTTTGTTTTGGAGAAATTATTTGCTCTCTTAACTGGATGCTAGTGTTTGTTTCAGAGATGGAGAAGACAGAAATACAGGGCAAAGATCTCAAAAGATCCAGAGCTAAAACCAAGGCAAGCTCCAAACCACTAAAACGGAAGAGGTCAGAAAGCAATGGTAGTGGTTCTAGGAAGATTCCAAAAAAGGAAGCTGCCTCCTCCATTTCCCACTGCAAAGCCATTTTCTTGACAGATAAATCTACTACAGTTGAGACTGAAAGTTTTCAATTTCGAAATGAAGAAGTAGCTGCTATACAATTGACCAGAGTATGCAGGGATGATTTTCTGCCAAATAGAAGGTTGACAGCCTTTGTATTTCATGATGAATTCGGTGAACCACAGCCTGTTGAGATGGTTGAAGAGTGTAATCTATATATTTCAGGTCTAATCTTGCCTTTGGAGGATGCTTGTGATGATGAAAAGGAGACGAGGATTCGTTGTGAAGGGTTTGGGCCCATAATATCATGGTCATTGTCGGGGTATGATGATAACTCACCCATTATATGGGTTTCCACAGAAGCAGCTGATTATGAATGTATTAAGCCTGCTACTGTCTACCAGAAGCAATACAGTCTTTTCTTTCAGAAAGCATGTACATGTGTAGAGGTATATAGAGAGCTATCAAAATCTTGCGGAGGCAACCCTAATCTTAGTCTTAATCAGTTACTCACAGCTATTGATCATTCAGTGACAGAAAGAACAAATGTTCCTCGTGGAGCCTCTGTGAAGGACCTAATCATTTCATGGGGTAGATTCATACATGATCAACTTATTGGCTTGGATGAGACAGCTCCCAAGAATGATACAATTTTTAGGAATCTACCTGTACTTGTGTCCCTTAGGGATGCCTCAGATAAAGCTGCTGGTTTAGCATCTACAAGGACAAAATTAAAGAGAAGGAAGAATAAGGTTTTCTCATCCACTAAGATTGAGTATGACATAGCAGATAATTATCCACCACCAGCATACTATCAAAGAGGTATAAATGAGATAGATGAGCGTGCTGTATTCAAGGGTGAGACTGATGATGCTGATCAGCTTCCTCACCATGTGCTTCACAACTGGTGTCTGTATGGCTTTGATGGGAGTTTCATTTCTCTAGAATTCCTTCAATTGAATTCTTCTTCTGTAATAGAACAGCAGATTTACTGCTCAGGGATTGCCACAATTGGTGATGGAAGCAGATTTTGTCTTGACACTTGCTCTAATTCTCCAAGTTCTCCAACAGTAATAAACGCTGACAGAATACCCGTGTACTTGAGTACGATAAAGGACTGGAAGATTGAATTTAAATCATCAACAGTATCCATCTCAATCCGAACAGATATAGCCTGGTCAGCTTTCATATTCTCATCCTACTTTGATCAAGCTCTAAATTTATGTTCATTGTAAGAAAGTTTTAAGGCCATACAAGGCCAAGTATTTTACTTCTTTGTTACTTTGCTACCTAGTCTCTAATGGACCTTATATATTCTCACCTGAAACTTCTAACGATGCAGTAAGCTTTTATGATTTCTGATGAGTGATCATTTCTACTCGTTCCCCATGTCTGAATGATTACTTAACAGATAACAGATTATTCTTGGAATCTGTCGGCACAAATTCTTCTGCATGATTAAGTTGTAAAGTTATGATAATATGGGTAATTCTAGAAAGCTCAAAGTTGAACAACATCTAGCAGTTTGTTGGAATAAAAGCTTTTCACTGGTAAAATGATCCTCTAAATTTATGTTTCAGGTATAGGTTGGCAAATCCATTGACACAGTATGGTCCATGGTATGAACCTGTTCTGAAAACAGTAACTTTAGCTGTTAGCATTGCTGAATTGTTGAAGGAACAGAGAAGAGCATCGAGGCTTTCATTTCCAGAAATCGTTAAGAGAATCTCAGATTTCAACGAGGGACATCCTGCTTACATATCCTCCATTTCAGCGGATGTTGAGAGGTATATATTTGTTCATGGGCAAACTATATTGAAGCTATTTGCAAACTATCCTGATCCGTCTATCAGAAAATGTGCTTTTGTCAGAGGCCTTAGGGATAATTTGAAAGAACTACATCGCTCTAAGTTGGTAAAGAAAAAGATATTCCCAAGCCAAAAAGAACATGTGAATTTGGAAGCTGCAGTACCACACAAAACCTCAGAGACAAAAGCAATGCCAGCTACTACTACCAAACTAATCAGCAGAATTTGGCACAAGTATTGCTCAAAGTACTTGCCTGAAGATTTCAACTATGAAGATACTGAAGCGTTGCAAGAAACGAAAAGCATTTTTGATGAGAATTTCAAGAAGTTTTACTGTGTTCCAAAGAGAAAATCGCAGTGTGCTAGCACAAAAGTCAGATGGGACAGAGAAGAAGTTGGGAAAACATCTTCAGGCGAGGTTTTCTACAAACGGGCTAACTTTGATGGACTTGTGGTTTCTGTGGGTGATTCAGTACAAGTGAAAACAGCTGATTCAGAGGAAAGCCCTCCTGTGTTTTTTATAGAGTACATGTTTGAAGACTCTGATGCCAGAAAATTAGCTCATGGAAGACTCATGCTTAGAGGATATCAGACAGTTCTTGGGTATGTTTCTGACAAGCGGGAATTGTTTTTGACTAATCATTGTCAGGAATTTGGGCTTTCTGATATCATAGGGACCATGCCTACAGAAATTCAATCAGTTCCTTGGGGCTATCAACATCGGAAGACAAATGCTGATAATCATAAGATTGATAGGGCAAGGGTAGACAAGAAAATCAAAGGGAAGCCAACGAAATTCTTCTGTAGAAGTTTGTATTGCCCTGAAAGAGGTGCTTTCTTATGCCTAAAAACTAGTTCAATGGGCCTTGGTACTGGGTATTGTGACTCTTGCAAGATAAAGGAACTGCGCAACACATCGGTATTCAAGCTGAGTAGGTACAATTTCACCTTCAAGGGAACCAAGTGTCATATTCATGACTTCGTTTATGTAACCCCCCATTCTATATCTGATGAGACAGATAAAACTCCTAAGAACGCAAGAAGTGTGGTTCTTAAACCATTCACTGTCTGCCAATTTCTGGGGATTGACCAGCATAAGCCATTTAAAAATGCTGACCCTGAATCCACGATAGTTAAACTTCGGAGATTTTTTAGACCTGAGGATATTTCAGCAGATAAAGCATACCATTCTGACATCCGAGAGGTAATTGTCTTATTTCGTCTTTTTTTTGGTACAAATTAGTAAGTGGTAACTTTACTGGATGAAGACAATGATTTTTCAAGTTGGTAGGTGCATAAGTTATGCATGCCTGGGCATTTTCTAAAAGCAGACAATGCTTCTTGGTTGTGAATATTTTTAGTAGCAATATTGATTAAAACTGATGTCAAGTCTTTTAAGATATTATTTTTTGGAACTTCCTGACTACTTATATACATTGATTTCTCAGTGATGTCCGCCCTCCCTTTGATAGAGATAGATGCACCACTGCAGCTCTAATTTTGTCCTAAATTTAGAAAATTTCAGATATATTACAGTGAGCAAGTGATTAAGGTGCCTGTTGCGGCTGTAAAAGGGAAGTGTGAAGTAAGGGAGAAGGAAGATCTGAATCCCATCCCAACTACTTATGTATCTCAGCATATTTTCTTCTGTGAACAACTATATGACCCTATATCTGGAGCTTTGCAGAAGGTTATTTTTCTTTTCCGCCTTCATCCTATAGGTTGCATTTCAAATATAAAGTCATTTACCTTTTTCTTTTCTTTCTGCTGATTTATTTCCGTTTGAAACTAATGCTTCATCCCTTGGCTCTTTTTTTTTAAATTTTTTTTCTGTTTATAAATTAATTGGAAAGTTTTCTCTTCTGCATTTCATGTATTTCAAACTTGCTCCACACAGTTACCACTTCAAGTCAAGCGGAGTCTTTCGCAAAGGAAATCAGGTAAAACTGCATTAAACAGAAAGACATCACAGAAGCGTAAAAAAGGAGAAAGAGGATTTCGTGGAGAGTTTGCAGATTGTAACAAGTTTCTTGCCACTCTAGATATCTTTGCTGGTTGTGGTGGCCTATCTTCAGGCTTGGAACAATCAGGTGATCTCAAGTTTTACAGTGCCTTGGACTTAAGAAGTATGTGGACCATTACATTCGAGGCTTAGTTTTATAAACTACTTACAGGTGTTTCAAAGACAAAATGGGCAATTGAATATGAAAAATCTGCTTCGGAAGCATTTCAACTAAATCATCCGGACGCGACAGTGTTCACTAGAAATTGCAATGTCATCCTAAGGTCTTTCCTGCTGTTTCTCTAATTCCTATTTGCTTCAGCTAGTACTGCAACATTTTTGGTGGCAGATAGGTGGTTCAGAGATGATTATGTTGGTTTTGTTTGTTTATAACATTTCGTGCTTGGATGATTAGATTTTACACCTAGTGTCTCATATTAGCACATCTGCATATCTGTATTTTTATTTTGTATCCTTTTTTGTATTGTTCATCAAAATATTGAATTGCAGGGCCATCATGACAGTCTGTGGGGATGCAGATGATTGTATATCAACCGCTGAGGCTGCTGATTTGGCTGATAAACTTGAGCAAAAGGAAATTGATGGTCTGCCGCGACCTGGGGATGTTGAGTTCATCATTGGAGGCCCTCCATGTCAGGTATCTAGAACCAGTTCCATGTTAGGAGATGAAAAAAAGAGAAATTTTGTATCAGTAAGAGTACGATTAGGCAAAGTATGTCCTTACTTTGTTATTGGCATTTCACAGTACGCATAGAACAAGGCGATTAGTGCCTTAAAATTGATTATCACCGACTTGACAATAAAAATCGCAGAATGTTATCTTGGTGACTGCATAAACAATTCTTATGTGTAACCTATGCGCATTAACAAACTTCGAATGCAGATTCTTCAATCTTGATTTTCCTTCTCTGCAGGGGTTCTCTAAGATGAACAGATATAAGGAAAGGTCTTGGAGCAAGGTCCAATGCGAAATGATATTAGCATTTTTATCCTTTGTGGATTACTTTCGACCCAAGTTCTTTCTCCTTGAGAACGTCAGGAACTTCATATTCTTTAACAAAGGGCAAATATTTCGCTTCACATTGGCATCGCTCCTGGAAATGGGATATCAGGTACATGAACATGGATTATATGTTTTGCAGCAAAATTTGAATCTTGAGCTACCACACTAGCTGGTACTATAAACTAGAGTGCATAATTGTTACACTTCTGTAGGTGAGGTTTGGCATTTTGGAAGCTGGGGCATATGGAGTTTCTCAAAACCGTAAAAGGGCATTTATATGGGCAGCTTCCCCTGAAGAGAATCTACCCGAATGGCCTGAGCCGATGTATGTTTTCAAAGGCCCAAGACTCAAGATCCCATTAGGGGGAAATATTCACTATGCTGCAGTTGGTAGCACGGCAAATGGTGCTCCATTCCGTGCAATCACCATCAGAGATACAATTGGGGAACTCCCTGCAGTGAGAAACGGGGCATTAAAACCAATAATGGAGGTAGAGTCTCTTGTTCCATTCACAAAGTTTTGCTGTTTCTACCTTTGCGTTTCTGATGGATCCCTCACATTCTGTTCTTCTCCTACTCTTCAGTACAAAAATGGACCTATTTCTTGGTTTCAAAACCAAATTCGAGGAGATATCCAGGATCTAAAAGACCACATTTCCAAGGAAATGAACGAGTTAAACCTCCTAAGGTGTCGAAAAATTCCAAAACGTCCTGGTTCTGACTGGCATGACCTTCCAGATAAACAGGTACCCTCCTGTTCTCTTCGTCCAACAGCGGAAATATCTTCTTGGTTTTCTCTAGTTTTTGTTTCTTCCAGTCTAACAAAACTGCTCTAGTTTACTGGTTCTCGATGAAACTTTTCATTTGTTCTGTCCTATGTACACTACGTTTCATCCTTGATGGAAGTTTTGATGCTGATCAAGTGGACTTTACGTTGCATCGTACTTGCCTAACACATGTATCTCCATTTCTTGGATTTTCAACTTATGTAGCATGATGTTACAGGAATACTGTAATGAGTGTAGTCTCCATTTACACACTTGGTGCAGGTTGAGTTGTCAAATGGAAAGGTGGTTAATTTGCTGCCCTCATGGTTGCTCAAGACAGCAGGAAGAAATAACCAGTGGAAGGGATTATATGGAAGGTTGGATTGGGCAGGAAAGTTTCCTACATGTATAACTGATCCTCAACCTATGGGTAAGGTTGGAAGATGGTTTCATCCTGCTCAAGATAGGATACTTACTGTGCGTGAATATGCTCGAGCTCAGGTCAGCATTTTCTTGTTATGTTTCATCCATTTTATCTCTAAACACTTGACAAATTAATTTTTTTTGTTTAAGGCACTTCAAATTTATTTTCTATTGAAATGTTGTTTATTTGTTTTGTATTCAAAGCTTCGACATGGTTGCCCCTATAAAATGAAAGCAAAACAAGAAAACCTTAAAGACTGTTCACAAGTAAATGGAACATTAGACATTTTTTCTAGATGCCAAATTGTTTGTCACAATTGAAAAATAATTAATAGAGCTCAAATTATCTTCTTGTGGGTGCAGGGCTTTCCAGACAGCTATCAGTTTGCTGGTAATATTCAACAGAAACACAGGCAGGTTGGGAATGCGGTCCCCCTTCCTTTGGCTTTTGCATTAGGGAGGAAATTGAACGAATCCATTGAAGACACATCCTCAGAATTAACATGAATGAAATCCTGAAAAAGAACACTTTAGCTTTGTGTTCGTTCCAATAAAGTTGGGGGGGGGGGGGGGGGTTTACTTGGATCAACATAAACGGGAAGAGAAAAAAAGGATGCCTTGTTTAGCACCATATTCCTATTCTTCTAGTCTTTTTCTCATGCACTTATGAACCATTAAGTTGTGTTTGGATTGCATTTTTCGTCATTTTTCATGGAAAAATTACTGTAGTGATTTGATATATGTGAGGGAAAAAGGTGATAGGGAAATGTGATCACGGAAAACGACAATATTTTCCGACGAAAACAAGCAATCCAAACAAGGCATTATGTAGTTGTGATTTAGCTTTATAGGTATCATAAAGCATTCAAAGTCCAAGTTGACGAGGAAATTACATGCCACCTATGAATTGAATCTCACAACCAAACTGGTGGTATATGTTTCACCGTTGTCAACGAGGATGTTTGATGGCAATCGGCCCACCCTCTATACATAGTTTTCACTATAGCAGATAAACTAGACTCGATTTAGATTACAAGTCCTCCAGAATTTTGAGACCTATTGACCAATGAATATCATCAATAAGACGGTTAATGTTTCTAGCTCTGAGGAAATACATGATGACAAGAGGAGGAGAGGACCTACTCCTTCCCTCTCAACGGAGCTTTGCACAACCAATGCTTCTCAGAAAATGCAAGTCAAACAGTAAGGGATGCACCATTGTCAGCCATCGACAGATTAAGTATCATTGTAGCTGCCCTTGGAGCCCTGTTGGAAGTGCAAAAAAAAAAAATCAGATCAACAATGCGATAAAATCTTGAGCTTTAAGAAGCTCGAGCTATGCTGGCAAACTTCCATTTGTTGAAGCCCCTAGGTTTTCCCTCTTCATGTGCAATCAACTCATTGAGGACTAGAATCCTAAAGCTTATAGCGAGTCCACCTAGTCGTAGAAGTTTGCAAATTGGATCATGAAATCCATTGTTTCAATATATCCTTTTCTTTTAAAAAAAAAAAAAAGTGTTTTGCACGCTCAACAAATTGTTACAAACTTCGACTTAATGTCTAGAATTTTGTCCGCTAGAGTCAAAGTCTCCAGAAAACACGTCTACAAGGCTTGCAGCATTTCTTTTCTAGGCAGAACAGAGCCTAGAAGTATTCCCTATGAGTCATTTGACATTCCAGAATTATTTTCTTACTTTATATGGAAAGAAGAGAAAATGGAGTCTTAATCAAATTCTTGTGACAGCTTCTTTTCTAGAAGTTCCAATATATGCTCAACAAGAGTAACAAGGCAAAAAGAAAACACATCTATACCAAGCTTCAGGCGTCTGATAGAAAGAAGCTGAACTGCCAAAGCAGGATTGAAGCATATCAGTGTTAATCACACCAGGACTAAGTGAAACAATAGCCACTCCAACAGGCAACTCCTTGGCTACTGACCTTGTCAGACCCTCAACCGCCCATTTTGAAGCACAATAAGGTGCTACCTGTTAACATCTAATCTGAGTTCAATGGTGTTATAAAAAAAACAAGTCAATAAAAATGATGATGATGAAAACAGAAAGAGAAATAAATATACTAAGTGGGTCACAGTCTTCTCCCAAAAGTCATGGAAGAATATACAACCAAAAAATCTGACATATTAGAACATCAAGCACTTAATTCCACCTGTGCAGCAGCAGATCTTCCCCATCCAGATGACATATTAACAATTACTCCTTGCTTACGCTCAATCATAAGGGGAACAAAATGGCGCAACATGTTTGCAATCCCTTTGATATTCGTGTCAATGACCGTATCAAACTCTTCCACAGGAACATCCCAAATTTTGTTGTTCCTATTAATAGTGCCTGCATTGTTTACTGCCAAGAAGATAAAGTTAATAACCAATCTCAACGAAAAGTAAATGCATTTATCCTACAAAAAGATAGGCAAGTATGGATTTTAAAATGCATTCATCCTACAAGGATTCTCTTGAACCTTCAAATAAGATAAAATGCATCTTACATTTTCATGATTTACCATGTGTATCATACAGGTGAAACTTATCATTTTTAGCCCATTTTTCCATGTGAAAATAAGGAATTTGAAGAGGAATTAAGACACATATTTATGCAACATGGTGGTGCTGCGGATGCAAATTGGATCAGTCAGAAGTGTACAGACCATCCCAAACAAGGCATGCCTGTGTCTTATAGTAAAAAGACACTACTGACAGTACTATCTTTTTGGCTATGACCATTCCAAAAGTTTCCTAGAAAACATCAGAGGACATAAAATATTTACTGGAATAAACTAAAACTTTCTGAAGTAAAGAAACAAGTCCAGTTATAAAATTCAGCTCAGGAATGATCACACTCCATTGCTATCCATCAAAATGAAGTTGAAGCCAAAAAAGACTTCCAAAGACTATAATGCAAAATCTAGTAAAAAGTTACACTGCTTTGTTACTCTGTTCCACTCTACCATGCGACTTTCAAAGTGAAATAGAGCACCTAATACACGTTTCTACTTGAATCACAAAAAGTGCTATAATTATGTAGAACCCGTCCAGACAAGGACAATAAAAAAAGTAAGAGCACAGAAAAATTACCTATTATATCAGGAATGCTCTTCTTTTCCACCACACTTCGTGCCAAATCTTGAACACTGCTATCAGACCTCTACACAATAAACGTGAAAGTCTTACGACCAATATGCCAACCGCACATATATCACAATTCAGTGTGTAGGAATTTATGAGAAGGAACAGGTGAACAGAAGAATAACAGCACCACCTTCATTTTTAGAGATCAAGAGCTCGACAAAGTTCTCATTATCTGTTTTCAGCAAAATACGTGTAATCACCAGAAGGCCTGACTTGCCGGTCAACAGGCCAATCAACTAAAACACATACTTCCAGAACAAGGACTAAAACAACCCCCTCCACTGACCTATATATGAAAATTTAAAATCACTTTTTTATTTCATATAATGTTGTTATCCAACTTTTACAGTCTCATGCTGCAGAATTACCAGAATAGTTTACATAAAATTAAAATTGAAAAAAAAACTAAAACAACTGCCTCCTGCAAACTATGTGGGATAGTTTCACTTCATGTTTCAGTTTCATCATATGATTCTCCCAGTCCCATGTCCAGATTTTACTAGCTTCGGATTCAAAAATATCCAGAACATTGCACAATATAATAATTGGAATTGGGAAAATTCGAAGTAAAACAACTTCCTACGCAGTACATAGTACTACTTTAACCAAACATCTCCATTTCATTTTTCAATATCCAACTTTTAGGAGTTCTAAAATATTAAAACCAGAAAATTTCAAAAAAGTGCAAGGAATAGAAAAATAAATCACCCTGTACACCTAAACTTGATCACAAAAAACAGGATAAAAGATAAATTCAATGGAAAAGAAAAGGAATTGCACATTTTACGAAGTAATTGAGCATAAAATTGTAACCAAATTCATAGGATGAATAAAAAAGAACAGCTGAAGAGGAGTGATAGGTGAAGAATGCGTACCACGTCGACATTCATGACAAGGTGTTTGTTTTGAACGGCAGAAGCTGGAGAAGAAGGATTGGAGGAGGAGACTGCAGCTAGGTCGGCTTGGAGAGAATTCAGTTTATCCTGTGAGCGAGAGCAACCTATTACGGTGTGCCCGCGCTTCGCTAATTCTAAAGCTAAGGCTTTACCTAAACCTCTGCTCACTCCGGTTATGAGCACCGTCCGATGAGTTCCCGTTACTCTGGCCATGTTTGTAGTGGTCGGAGCTCCCAACGGCGTCGTTGGGGAAGCTGTCATTCTTCTGTTCACGGTAATGAGTAGTCTCTACCACCTGCTCGACTCCGTCCCCTCTCCCGACTTATTTGGGGATTAATTAATACAGTTTTTTTTTATTTTTAATTTTACTTCAGTGGCAATATTGGTAAAAAAAAAAAAAGTGTTTTATGCCCTTTTCACCCAAAAAAAAAAGTACAAATGCGTATAAATCGGAAGACCCTTTAAATTTATACAAATTCAAACAACTGTGGATTGCTAATTTTCACCACCGACAACAGAACCCTAGAGTGCTGCGATGACTGAAAGAATCGAATTGGCAATGGCGGAAGAAGAACAGGAGCAAGGGGAAGAAGGAATAAAAGATGGTTGTTCAATGAGTGAGCCGAGCTCGGCTGCGGCGGTGGCCAGCATTTGCCGGAAGGAAAAAAGGAAGGCGTCGAAGAAGGAGAAGAGGAAGCAGAAGAGGAAGGAGGCAGCAGAGAAGGAGCGGCAAGAAGAGGAAGCTCGACTAAACGATCCTGAGGAGCAGCTCCGTCTTCAGCTCGAAGAGGAGAGAGAGAGGGAGAGGGTAGAAAGGGAAAGGAGAGAATTCGAGGAGAGAGAACGGCTGTTCCTTGAAGCCTTGGCTCGGAAAAAAGCTCAGGAAGAAGAAGAAGAGGAGCAAAGAAGAATAATGACAGAAGAAGAACTAAAATTAAAAGAGAATCAGGTTCACTTTTTTCATTTGCCTTTGTCCGAAATGCGCTACTACATCAATCTTAGGTATTAATTTTTCATGAAGAGATATATACTGGTTGCTTATAATGAACTCGCTAATTAGTTTGTGGAATACTTATGGTTTACCGCGAAATTTGTTTTTGATTTTGATGATTTGCGTAAAGAATATGTGTTTGAGTATCTCAAATCTGGTAAAGATGCCTCAGTTGAGGTATTAAGGTGCGCAAACCAGGTTGATCCCTTACTGGCCTTACCGGAGGTGTAAGTGCCTCCTCTTTCCTTACCCGTTGAATCCAGAATGAGGAAGACGGTGTAACTGTCAGAATCATTATGTCGTAGGAAAAAAGAGAAAATAAATTTATTCCACACATGCTCGTATGGCGTGGTAGAATTGGTGATGGAGCTAATAAGCTCACGGACACGGAAACTTGTGATGATGAGTTTTAAGTGTTAATTTTATTCATTGCGGTGATTCTCGTTTGATGATGTTTTTGTGCTCTTATTTGTTTTTATCTATATAAAGAACTATTTAGACCCCATGTCTTGGAAGGATTTGGTTGCGTGCTTGTGGTTTTTCTGTTTTCCAACATTGCCTGCTAGTAGCGTGATGGAAACTTTCTGGATATTTTTATCTGAAATTGTAAGTTTGAGTCTCATAGGTAGCTAGTTATCAAACTTAACTTAAAGAATAGGTTGCATTTTTGTTACTTTGGACATGCCAAATTTTTGCCAATTCCCTTAAAAAGTTTGGAATAATAGAATAGTACTACTTTTTTCTCTATAGATCATATATCAAAAAGGTAATGGCAACATTCTATCTATTACGTGCTTATCATTTTCTTAAGTACTCTTTTTTCCGACTTTTCTTTTAGATTCATGCCCTATTGCACTGTAACTATTTGTCCTGAATTTTAGTAATACCTCAGGTTCACAATTGAATATGAGTCCCTTATCAGGTTAGCATGTTGCAGCCTTAACATCTTTAAGAATCAGAAAATTGTCTAGCAGTTGCAATTGTGGTAAATAGTCTACTAGTTGCAATCGTTTGATGCAAGTTAAGGGTCTTCTAGAAAATTCCCCCCTCGCCCTCTGTGTGCAAGATACATTTAAATGTACAATAACTCCTCTAGTGTGTCTTACACATGTATAACAGGTTGGACTTGAGACTGAGGCAAATGGTGAAGACGAGTGGGAATATATAGAGGAGGGCCTTCCAGAAATTATTTGGCAGGGAAATGAGATAATTGTCAAGAAGAATAAAGTCAAAATGAAAAAGAAGGATGCTGAACAGAAATGGGAAGAGGTATTGCTAACTGATTTGTCCAAATTCTACTTCCAGATTACTCCACTTTTTATGTATATATTCTTGTCCCTTGCCTCTATGGCAACACATTTTAGACAAGGTTATATTGCAGGATCCTGATAGACCAACATCAAATCCTCTTCCTCCGCAATCTGAAGCTTTTGCTGATTTCAAGAGTTCATCAACCGTATCAGCTCAACAGTTGTTGGAGAATGTTGCTCAGCAAATTCCAAACTTTGGGACTGAACAGGTACACTTTCTTTGTCTTTGCTCTTTGTTACTGCTTCCATTGCTCACTCCATTTTTGTCTGATTACATGATTTTTTGATATTTGTGTAGGCAAGCCTTATCTTTTGTTTACAAAATGATTTCTGTGTTAGCTCTCCTCAATTTTATTTTTTGGTGAGGAAAGTCATACCTTTTTCTCTTTTTGTTTGCTGGGTGTATGGCAGGACAAAGCCCATTGTCCATTCCACCTGAAAACAGGGGCCTGTCGCTTTGGGTCTCGATGCAGCAGAGTTCACTTTTACCCTGAAATATCTTGTACGTTGCTCATCAAGAATATGTACAATGGACCTGGCCTTGCCTGGGAGCACGACGAGGGGCTTGAGGTCTGTTAAGAAGTGACTAGTATCCTGTTCTTGTCTTTGAACTACTTAAATACTTCAACTATTGGTTATTTTGTATCTTAGCATTTTGATAGCAATTACATGTCAAACTTGTTTCTCATATTCTGAAGTCAGGAGCCTACTTTTGATGGATTGGGGCCAGATTTTTAGGCTGGCCACAGTCTTTCATTCTTTCCATGCAAAGTCAGTCATTATTATTAGTATAGTTCTGGTCAACATGTTGTTAAACTTAAATACACATAGTTATTGCTACTTGTGTCTTAGGTGTGAACAGAAACTGGAGGTTTATTCCATTTAACTTGATATTCTGGTGTAGTCTAGTAGAAAATGGAGAATGTTCCAATGGTAACTTGGCAAACTGAACACAGAGACGATCTCTTTGTTTACGTAGGGCGACAGCAAATCTAAGTCCTTGCTAATTAATGTATGCAGAACTTTGTGTATTGCATGTTCCTTTTGGTGCATTTTGATAATTATCTGGCAAAGTTTCTAGTGTTTGTTTTTTGTTTCTATGAAATTCCTATGAGGAGGTATACTGTGTTTTGATGTCATACGGTGTGTATGAGTTTCCTTGTGAATGGATGCTTCCTGTACTTCTTGCTGGCTGTTTAGATAACTTACTCCAGTGGGGAAAAATGTAAAATTTTGTTAGGAAAGTACTTCCAATTAATTGTATTTCTGAAAAAAATAAGTTGTCTGTAACGGCATTATTTATACAAAAGGTTTTTTTTTTTATTGGTTTCATTGGAGAGACTTCTTGCCTCTATATGTTAACAGTAGGTGTTAATGCAGCAAGTATTGGAATAATTTTCCCTTTGGACATTTTCTGTATCCATTTGAGGCTTTTTGTTTCCTATGTCAATATTCTGAATAAATGGCAGACTTAACTTGGATGTTCTTTTCCCAAGTTTCTCTTGCTGTACTTGTATCCTGATTGCTATTCTCAAGTTTACGAGCTTTACTGGCTATGTTCTCAAAAGATGGTCAACATATTATTATTGTCCCTAGTTTATCTTATGCAGTGACCCCCTCCCCAACCCGGGTTTTGTTTAATCTTGCTTATTATAATTGCTGTGGTCTTCTGGTGATTGATTACCTTAACTTCTAAGCATTTCAGGATTTCCGTTTTCTTTTCTCCAATGGGCCCCCCTTTGGGGGGGGGGGGGTTTACTATCTTTGAGTTAGAGGAGCATTTGGTTTGTCATTGTGTGTAGTTATTTGATACAGACCTTGATGTGAATTACACTATGTAGGTTGTCTTGTTGTATTCTTTAACTCAGATTATTACAGAGGTTCTGCTCCATGTTGATGGAGGTGCATGCTCATGCCTTGCTTGGTTGGAGCTGAAAGATTTCCAATCTGTATCCTACACAAGCTTGAATTATTATTGGATGGAATTGTTGTTTGTTCAATTTGATTGGCGTCAAGTCACTGTTTCTACCTTGCTGTTGCTTTTGAATAGTAGCATGCAATTATTCGATTGCTAGTCAAATTAATGTAGATAATGGTCCCTTAATACTGTCTCTATTTCAACTGACCAAAAAAATGATTTTAGTTTTTCTAGCTGGAGAAAAAGAATATGGAAAAAAATGGAAAGTAATGTATTCTTTAACTCTTTGTTATGCCTATATTCCACTTCTGAAGATTTAAGATGGCTGCTCTCTGCTGCTCGAGATTGCTTAAGAACCATGTAACTTTTAGCCTATATTCTTCTTCTAAAGATTTAAGATGGTTGTGTTGTACTTATTGAGATTGCTCATGAACCATGTGATTGTTATGCATCTGTGAATTCGGTTTCTCTTAACAAATACTAGCACTTTGGGAAGCCGATCTCCTCCCAAATAAGTTTGGCTAGTTCCTAAAATGCGGCTTGAGAAAATTACAGCATTTAGAATTATGCAGACTTGTACTAGAGGAAGGGAGTTACACAATCTTGACTGTAAGTGGAAAGCATATTTTGTTTTTTGTTGAATGTCACATGTGATAAAAAAAAAAAAAAAGCTATTGCTGAAGGATTTCCTTGTATTAGGTCAAAATTCTAACTTCAGAATAGTGTATCATTCACAAAAGTTTACAGCATTGTTGCTAGATGGATTGGGGGTTATTTCCTCTTTTTTTTTGTTTTTGGGGGGATGGGGGGAGGGCAAAATAGGAAGTAGCAAAATTCTCTACTCCGGGTATAGGTTGTGGAGGAGAGGTGAAAAGTATAAAGGGTCTAATTAAATATATTTACAAGAAAGGAAATTGGGTTGAGCTTTTCAGATTATCTTGTTGTCTCAAGTAAAAAGCTTTTCTAGACTAGCTTAATTCACAAATGATGAAATGTTATGATATGCATTTTATTCCCTTGCCTTTTTTTATATGGTGAAACATTGGAGATTGAACCGTTTACTGTAGTATCTAACAAGAAACCACCCTTTTCTCCTGCCAACAAAATAAGAAGTACATGTGCATGTAAAAATTGATTAAATTGAGACATGCTTGGTGTGGTACTTGCTAATACCAAATATCAGGGTTAGTTATATTTTGTTTGCTCATTTTCCAACTTTCCATGTTGCATTAATTGAATGTATGGGAATTATCTCTGTAAATATTTGACTTGTCTGTTTCTTCTTTGCACATTTATTGTAGCAGTTCTGACCTCTTTTTTTGGGTTGTTGATACACAACCCCTAAGATTGCTTTCTAATGAAGCACCACATGTTTGAAGTTTAATGTGTCTTTTTAATATTCTAAATCCATGCAACATCTCGATCTAGCTTTGTTCTACATGTGTTATCAGTATGTTAAAGAAGGCTTCAAGTTCTTATCTGGTGGGGATTTACTAGCTCCACCAGAATATCAGGCAATTAAATGAATGTGGGCTATCTTTATGCATTATAAGTTTGTGAGTTGTTGTGTTTGTTCAGAAATTAAGATGCTTCTCTGTTCTCTTGGTTGCAATGTAAACCATCGGATTTCACTTGTACTTGAAAGTGTATGTCAATATGTTTAGGCTTAAAGGAGTATGACTTCTTTACATCCAATGGTGAAGTAGTGTGTAAGCACATGTAAAACTTGTTAAACTCCTAATATGCTTGTAGGTGCTGACTGGAATCACTGTTTCTGTATAAATGCTGTTTTTGATGTTCATGGAAGTTGAAATATGGTTACAAAATCTTGTTTCAATTTTTCAATCACGTCATGCCCTGCTTTACCTTATCAGCAACAATTGTGTGACTTGTTTTTACTACTGATATTTCTCTTTATTTTTTTGGGCTTTTCTTATGTTTATGCTATGAATCCCTTTTTGTACTTTTTTTTTTTTGGGCAGTATACTGAGGAGGAGGTTGAGCGTTCTTATGAAGAATTTTATGAGGATGTGCATACAGAGTTTCTGAAATTTGGAGAAATAGTTAACTTCAAGGTATGCATCAGCCAAAATGGAGTTTGTTCTGGTAGCCTAGGTTTTGGCAATAATTGTGCTGTAGTTTTAGTAGTAAATCACATTGCATGAATGAAGTTCCTGATTTGTGGAATTTGGAAGAAGGGTGCAGTGTTTAATTTTTCCTCTCTAGTGCTGACATGAAAATCTTTTCCTAGATGTAGGAGTGAAATGCAGAAAAGCATTGAGATGTTGTCTTCTTTTAGATGAAATAGAGCTTGTTTTTGCTTATTTATGTCCTTGAGTCCAAGAACATACCTTTTGCAATATATGTAGGTTTGCAGGAATGGTTCATATCATTTGCGAGGGAATGTCTACGTACACTACCGAGAGTTGGATTCTGCAGTTCTTGCCCGCCGTTTTATCAATGGCCGTTATTTTGCTGGCAAACAGGTATTGCCTTGGGGATTTTCTTAACTAGACTAGAAAAAATGTTGGTCCATGCTTTGCAGTTGACTGATTTTCTTTTTTTATATAAAATGATGGGAGCCAACCGGAATATCATCGGTCTTCATATGATCTTATGGTCGAATATATTGGAGGGAGATATAAATATCTCCTTTGTCTTAGATCATTTATAAATTTTTAGGAGAAAACAACTATCTGTATTAGTGTTTTATGTGCCAATACATGAATACTGTGTTTCCACTTCTTACATGGTAAAATTCTCAAGCTTTCTTTTTTTCTTAGGTGAATTGTGAGTTTGTTGGTGTAACAAGATGGAAAGTTGCCATTTGCGGAGAGTATATGAAGTCAAAGCTCAAGGTATTGCTAATAATATCTGAAGCAAATGCAGAACCTTTTAGGGTATCAGTTATCATAAGACATTTCATTTATAAAGTTGTGGCATTTTCTGTAACTTGTCATCTCATGTAAGTTGTTTTCTCTGCAACTTGTCATCTCATGTAACATCTTTTCTTTTGTTAGACATGTTCTCGTGGGACTGCATGTAATTTCATTCATTGTTTCCGCAATCCTGGTGGGGATTATGAGTGGGCTGATTGGGAGAAACCACCCCCAAAGTATTGGGTGAAAAGGATGGCTGCTTTGTTTGGTTATTCACACGAGTCTGGGTATGACAAATGGGTTGAACAAGAAACCAAAGGACAACGTAGGAACTCCAGCAAAAGTTTGATAGCTGATGAAGAAAGGTGTGTATGTTGTCGCTATAGATAGCATTTGATATTGTTATTGGGAGAGTTGAATTTGCTGTTCTCAATGGACATATTTTGTTGAGTCTGTTTAGCCCACTAATCTTAAGAAACTTTTGCCTGCTGGTTGTTGTTCACTCCCTGATTGGTCAATTTCCATTTTTCAACTTTCCCCCTTTTTTATTGTTGGAGCTATAAAGATACACCCTGCTTCTTTTTATTTATTTTGTTGAAATGGTATTTTCAATACAACCCCCCCCCCCCTCTCTTTCTCCTCCAAAAAAAAATTTAAGGCCAGGTTGTGGAATATAGGCAGCAGAAAATGCATTACTTGCGTTTTCTCTTTCTTTAAAGAGTGACAAAATCCATAGGCAACTAGCATGGACCAGTCTTTCATTGTTAGATTCATTCCTGGTTTTTTCTGTTTCCATAAAGAGAATGACAAAGGTCAAACGGAACTAGCATGATCAGTCTTTCTTTGTTAAATTGCTCATAATATTTTCCGTTGTATATGACTAGTGCAAGTACATGTCATCCACTTGTGCCTCTTGTTAAGCATAACCATATATGTGACCCTGTCATGACAACTGTGGCAGTTCTATCTTGTTGGGGTACGAATTTTATCTTGATAGAATTTATTTGGTTTATGTGTTAATTTCGAGTTTAGTTATTTGCCCTCTGACAAAGTTTGAATATGTTATCAGATACCGCTCTCGAAGATCTTTGTCTAGAGAAATAAAATCTTCAAACAGTAGTCCAAGAGATAATTACAAAGAAGACAAGTTTAGGAGGAGTAAATACAGCAAAAGGTACAGGAGTGATGACACAAAGAGGCTGGAGGTTCCTGATGAAAGAGAATATGAAGAGGAAAGACAATCCCGAAGCCATCAGCGTGGCAAGAGAGGACAATATGAGAGGGAATTCGATAGAGCTTGGTTGGATGAAGAAAAAGATGCTGATGGGTACTATTACAGCACAAGAAACACAAGAGAAAGCTCCAGAAGCCCCTTTAGGAGAAGGTCACAATCACATGATTGTCGAGAAATTGACAAGCGCAAAATTCCAGAAAAGATCTCAAGAAAAAATCATGCGTTATCTGGAACTGCAAATGATAGTGATTGCAATAAGGAAGCATCCGCTTATACTGATTCTGGCCGGGACTTTTCACACGAGAATAAAGACTGTATATCCTCACGAGACCTTTTGTATAGGAGGGGAGCCTCAGATAGTGATTCCGCTGGAGACTGGTCCGATTGGATCATAGAGAGTCGCCGTGTGCAAACAAGAAAATCATCGGCACGTGTAGATGAAGCTGCAGGATTTTCTAGTGATCTCCAGGAATCAGGGAAAAGTTTACATGACAAGTATGACGAGAATGGATCTGAACATGCTAAACCCAATCTTCAGAGAGGCTGGAGACGTACTAGCTCTTGTAAAAGGAAGACCAGAGGAGACGATTATTCTGATGAGGACGAGGATAGTGACACAAGAGGCCGCCGTGAAATTGACAAAGATGATACAAGAGAACACCATAGGCATAACCATTCGAGTAGAAAGACCAGAAAAGCTGATTATGCTGATTATGCTGATGAGAACATTGACGAAAGAGGCCACTTGGAAACTGAAAAAGTTGATTCAAGAGAACACCACAAACACAACCGTTCTGGTAGAAAGACCAGCAAAGCTGATTACGCTGATAAGCACGATGAGGACATTGACAAAAGAGGCTGCTGGGAACCTGAAATGGTTGATGCGAGAGAATACCATAAGCATAACCATTCAAGTAGAAAAACCAGAAAATGTGATTATGCTGGTGAGCATCATGAGGACATTGACAAAGGAGGCCACTGGGAACCTGAAAAACTCGATACAAGAGAGCACCATGAACATAGAAGAAAATCTCATGGCAGGTCTGGGTCACATGATCAGAATGTTGACAAGCACTCTAGAAAGAGCAGGTCAAGCAACCAGAAAAGGAAATCTTATTCGAGGGAGAGGGACTGATGAAAATTTGGACTAATCTCGAAAGGATGGCATGGTTGTTGAAGCTAATGGCAAGGTGATCCATGCAAAGGAAGACGAGATTACCAGTTCATACCCAGGCTTTGAACATCTTCAAGAGAGTATTGTCTGTGGTGCTGCGGGAAGCTCGATTTTTGGGATAAATGAAGATATTCTAAGTCCATACTACCACGTTGACCCTTCAATATAGGGCCATTGGCTTCAGAACCTCCTCTCTCTTATGCTGGTAGTGGGAGGCTTCAAGAACTTGTCAATGTAGATGTCATGCAAGCGGCCTGGCCTGTTGGTCACTAGTTTTGATGCAAAGTTTATTCTCTTCGAGTTAAAATCAGTACGGATGCTTGTATCCTCTAACCCAAAGTTTACAAATATTTGAGCTGCTTGATCTGCGAATTCTGTCTTTCCTCTATCTTTGAAAGTTCCTATTCAACGAGTATCTTTTTTTTTTTTTCAACAAACGTTAAATGTCATTTTATAGATTAAACTTGATACTACAAGAACTTAATTACAAAAGGTGGCCTCAGCCCTCCAATCTTTGTTGGCTGCTTCTATAAGCCACATTGGGAAGTTGTTTTCCCAGTCAATGTCATTAACTAGCTTTGTTGCAAATTGTGCTAGCCTATGACTTCCTACATTAGCTGATCTAGGTACCCAAAGGACTGTGCAAAAATCAAAACCTTTGATTAGATCCTCAATGTCTTCCAAGATGGTTGCTATAAGACCTTCCTGTACATTGTTGCTTGTGATCATGTCGACTGCTGTTTTACAATCTGACATTACTTCTATCTTTCCCCATCCTGCTCGCCTTGCCATCTGGAGTGCCATTCTAATGGTTAAGGCTTCTTCCATTAGTGCCTCTCCTATTTTCATCTCCATTACTCCTCTTGCCCTCAATATCTCTCCTGTCCAGTGCCTAGCTATTATCCCCTTTCCTGTTCTGATCAGCTTTGCACTTATAGCCGCGTCCGTGTGAATTCTTATGATACCTTCTTTTGGTGACTCCCTAACCCTTCTCTGCTGATCTGACCCTATTCCTCCTTCCCTATCCTTCCTTTCTCTTCCTATCACCTCCTCATATTCAGTCCACTCCTGTTGTGCCTTCCCAATTATTTTCCTTGCTTCTCCTTTTTCATTTTCAAATTGGGCCTTGTTCCGTGACTTCCATATTTGCCACAGTATGTTTGCTGTTAAGCAGATTCTTTCCTTTCCTTTTTCCATTTTCTCAGTTTGTGAGACTGCCTCCCACCATCTCCACAGGTTATTTTGAAGGTCTTACAACCCATCCCATCTCACTGGTGCTATCTTCCACACTGTTTGAGCTATCGGGCATTTGAAAAACATATGCTCCATAGTTTCTACATCCTCCCCACACCCACTACATATCCTGTCACCTTTGCCTGTTCTGTTATAGATTGTCTCCTTGGTGGCTAAGCTGTTTTGCAAACTCCTCCAGATGAAAAGCTTCAGCTTATGTTTCAAGTTCAGTTTCCAGAAGCGTTTCCAAAAGCTATGCTTTCTGATTTCCCAACTTGTTTCTTCTCCTATCCTGTCTCTTCTCATTTCATTGCTCCTTTCTTGCACGACATTTGCGTATCCTGTTTTCACAGTGTACTGCCCAGATTTGGAGAAGCTCCAGAATAGCCTGTCTTTTCTTCTAAAACAGCTGAGTGGCATACTGATGATCTTCATACTATCCTCTGGATTGAGGATTTGCTTTATAATTTCTGCATTCCATCTTCCATTTTTTATTAGCTGGTTCACTGTCTGAATCTGGCAGTTTGGAGCACGACTTGTTGTTACTGTACCTGTTCTTGTTCCTATTATCCACCTGTCCTTCCAAATGTTCACTTGACTTCCATCTCCTATCCTTTTCCACATGCCTCTCTGGATCAATCTCCCTGCGCTATGAACACTTTTCCATGACCATGATGCTGATTGTGGAGGGTTTTTATCCAGCGCATTTGGGTCTTTTAAATATTTTTCTCTGAGCACTTTACTCATTAGCAGATTTGGGGAAGTTAGTATTCTCCAAAGCTGCTTGGCAAGTAAGGCTTCATTAAAAGCTTCCAGGTCTCTAAAACTCAAACCCCCCTTTCCTTTAACTTCTGATAATTTTTTCCAACTTAACCAATGCATTTTTCTGTCTTGTTGACCACTTCCCCACCAGAAATTCGCTATGCACTTGCATATATCCTTTCGGCAGCTTGAAGCAAGCCATGGCATAATTTGGCATAGCTTGAATCACAGACTTTATCAGGACTTCTTTTCCAGCTGGACTCAACATTTTGTTTTTCCACCCTTTTAATTTTTTCATGATTGAGCTCTTGATGTACCCGAAAACTTGGTTCTTTGACCTTCCTATTGCCATAGGCAGACCCAGGTAGCTACCACTGCTTGCTTCCCTCATGTCCCCTAACTCTTGACACACCTCTACTCTGGCCTGTCTAGTAGTGTTCCTGCTGAAGTACACAGCTGATTTGTCACAATTGATCACTTGCCCCGACGCCTTTGAGTAAGCCTGTAAGATTTCCTTTATTTGCTTTGCCTCTTGAACTGTTGCTTTGTAGCAAATTACCGAATCATCCGCAAAAAATAGGTGCGATATTTGGGGCTCATTTTTGCATACTTTGACTCTTGTGATGTTTCCTTGGTTCATCTCCCTGTTGATCATATAAGAAAGTCCCTCTGCACAAATTAGAAAGAGATACGGAGAAAGGGGGTCCCCTTGTCTCAGCCCCCTGCTGGCTGTGATATATCCCACCCTTTCTCCATTCAGGTTAAAAGAATATGACACAGAGGATACACAAGCCATAATCCATCGAACAAAAATAGGACAGAAGCCCATGCGCATCATCATTCTCCCTACAAATTTCCACTCCACCCTATCGTAAGCCTTAGACATATCTAACTTTAGAGCCATATAGCCTACTCTCCCTTTTTTTTTGTTTTTGAGAAAATGCATGACTTCTTGAGCAATAAGGACATTATCCATAATCTGCCTACCAGGAACAAAAGCAGATTGAGACTCACTGATACACTTGTTTAGCACAATCTTTAGCCTATTAGCCAGCACTTTGGAAATGATTTTATACAAGGTATTACACAAGCTGATAGGCCTATACTGAGTCAAATTTAAAGGATTATCAACCTTAGGAATCAGGGTGATAAGAGTTTCATTAGCCGCCCTCAGCATATTTCCCGTATGGAAAAAACTAGTTACTGCATTAACCACATCTATGCAAACAATATTCCAATAATTTTGAAAGAACAACGGAGACATACCATCAGTACCAGGAGATTTATTAGGATGCATAGAAAAGAGTGCTTTTTTGATTTCCTCTTCCTTCACTGGTTGTATCAGTTGCTCATTCATCTATCTTGAGATAGTATTTGGAACACCTTGAGTTACATCTTGCTCCTGTTCAGGATTTGCTGTTGTGAGCAGCTGTTGGTAATAGCTGCAAATTTCGTTTGTCACTTCTTGTTCAGTTTCACACCATTCCCCATTGCTCCTCTGTAAAGCTGTGATTTTGTTCTTTTTCCTTGTGGCCATCACACTTGCATGGAAATAAGCAGTGTTTTTATCCCCTTCCTGCAGCCACCTGCATCTTGCTTTCTGACTCCAGTAAAGTTCTTCCTCTTTGTACGCTTTGCTGAGTTGAAGTTTCATATCCACTAGCTGCCCTCGTATCCCATCTCCATCTGACACTTTTAATTCCTGCATTTTCTTTTTAATCTGTTCCATTTTCATCCCAGAGTTCATCCTCAGCTTTCTGTTCCATATCAACAGTGCCATTCGACATTCTTTAATTTTCCTCATCACTTTAAACATTCTTGATCCCTTCTGTTCCTTTCCCCATGCAGCCTCTATGATACCTTTGCTTTCCCCATTTCTTGCCCACCTTTGGTCAAAGTAAAACCTTCTTTTTGTTTTTCTCTGATTGGGAATAGTGTCCAGGATCAGAAAGCTGTGATCTGAGGCTTCGGTTTCTTGGTGAATGCAAACTGCCTTTGCAAAAAGTTGGAACCAGTTCACAGAACCTAAACATCTATCCAGTCTCTCCCTCACCTCTCCCTCCCCTTCCCAATGATTACACCATGTCCATGGTTTTCCTTCAAAAGCTATATCCACCAAATCATTTTCCTTGATAAACCTATTAAACTCTCTGTAACTACCCTCGGCTCTCACTCTCCCCCCCCATTTTTCTTCCCCTGATCTTATATCATTAAAGTCCCCCACTAAGATCCAGAGATCCCCCCAATCTTTCTTTTTTTCCTCTATCTTTCTCCATTGCTCTTTTCTAATGTTTTCATCAGTACTAGCATACACTCCCACTAACCACCATTCACACTTTGCCTCCAGGTCCTTTATTTTTACCTCTATGAAGAAGTTACCATCAGTAATACTTTCCACCTGCACCTCCTCCTTCCAGAATAGAGTTAGACCTCCTGCCTTGCCTACCGGTTCTACCACATAACATTGATCGAATTTCAGTTGCCTCTTCACTTTTTCCATCACAGTTTTCTTGTTTTTTGTTTCACTCAGGAACACAATACTTGGAAAGTGGAGATATATCATCTCCTTTAGTTGGGGAATTGTCAAGGGTCCTCCCACACCTCGACAATTCCACACCAATGTCTTCATTTGCATAGTGGAGGCATTCCAGGGATAGCCTCCAATTCCCCTTGCTCTTTGAGCTTTTGGACCTCCTTCTTGAGCAGTTTTTGTAATGGTTCCTCCCAGTCATCCTCCTCCATTGGCACCCCAACCTCTCGTGTTCCACATATTTTCCTTTTCCCTCCTTTTGCCACCACCTGGATGTTTGTCTTCATTTCCCTTAGTGGTGATCTTTTTGATCTGTGAAATCCTCTTTGTTGTTTCCTTTTTTCTTCCTTTCCTTGCTTAGTCATGAGTACCAGCTTTCCTTGGTTTTCCCCTTCCATGCTCTCATTTGTAATGTCCATATGTGCAGGTGAAGATGTGTTTCCTGATCCCGCCTCCACATCCTGCCCATCCATCTCCATTTTATTCTCCATCACACTAGTTATATTCTCCTCATCCATATTCTTATTTGTTAACTCGTTCCCTCCTACCCTTTGTATTTTTTCTTTCTGCGACACCTTCAAAATCCCCCCTCCCTTTCCCCTCTAACAATTCCTTCCCCAATTTCCTCCCCTTTGTCCCTTACCTTCCCTATCTTTCCCTCTTTCTCTTCCCCAACCCCTTTCCCTCCCCCTTCTGTTATTCCTCTCTTTTCAATCTGCTTTCCTGAGTCTAAACCTTCCGTTGTCCTAACTGTTTGAACTCTATCCTCCCCTTGTCCTATGGTATGGTTTTTCACCACCATCTCCTTCCCAAGGCCCTCCCTAATTGGAGATAGCATAATGTTTCCTGCTCTCATCCATGGACCAAACTGAGCCTCTTTGTGCGTCTGCTTCAAGTTCATCTCCAGTTTACACGCCTTATCTCCATGTCCAATTATCCCACATTTATAGCAGAAATCCGGACATCTTTCATACTTAAATTCTACCCAAACAACTTCCTCATTAAGCTTAACAGTGGTACCTCTAATAAGAGGTCGTAATAGGTCTACCTCTGCCAGTATCTTCATGTGCCTTCCCTCTTTTCCCCCTCCAGGAGGTATAATGACTTCCTTTACATTTCTAAACACCCTTCCGATCTTTACTCCCGCTGCACTGCTCATCCAGTGGGTTGGCAGATTCCATATCTGAATCCATAAGGGTGAAAATCTGAAGCACTCAATTTTCTTTTCAAAACCTGCATTCCATTCTCTAATCACTAACACCTGATTATCCAGGATCCATGGTCCTCCTCTTAGCACTCTTTCTCTTTCAGCTTCCTTCTCGAACTGAAACTGGAAGACATTGGGTCCTATTTCCGTAACTCTTAGGTTTCTGGGATACCCCCAGACATGATTTGTGAAGTATTTGACTCTTGTAAAATTAGCAATCTTGTCTCCCATTATTCTCCCCACTAGGCTTCCCCTACAGTCTTGTATGCTTAACTCCACGTCCTCATCCTCCAGATCTATTCCTTCCACCTCAGTTTCTGACAGATCAAACCTTTTCAGTGCACTAACAAGGACTTCCTCCATCTTCTTATGGGCAGCTCACGATGTTCCCCGTACTATCTCTCGAATCTAAGAGCTCCTGCACCACCAGTTGAGGAAGCAGAAACCCCCTGAAACAAACCAGAA